TGAGAATCGAGAAAGAGCGTTATAGGTCTAAGAGGTAAATCATATTTGAAAAGAAAATGCTTCTCTATTCAATTTCTAGAAATAACTGAATTTGCTTGACCTAACAAACCTGAAGGCAAAAGTGATCGTACAATCTCTTAATCTTAATCGCAGCAATCAAATACGATGCGGGAATCGCTTGCGGCGGGGACTTTGGTGCAAAAAGTGCCATCAAATAAACGCAAGCGACAACATAAAAGAGAAAAGCGAGCAACCTTGCACAAACATTGGAAAAGGTCAAGAATTTATTTGAAAAAGTGAGGTGTTCAAAGTTCTAACATGTTGATCAGCAAGCATTCTCTTCAAGTCTATTTTCGGAATTTTGGTTGTCCACCTTGAAGTAGTATACACAATTGTAGTTATCATTTACACGGAAGTGCAATCTTTTTGGGTAGTGAAGCATTTGCTTGCCAAGAGTTTACAAAGCAATTTCCTCGAAAACTTAACAAGGTTTTTTGAGACTTATTTTGTTGATTGATCCACAATATCCATCTTCATCTAAATATTTCCAAATTTCCGCTGAATTGCAGCGTAATCCTCACGCTTTCTTTACAAAGTAACTTGCGCAGTTTAGCTCCTTCAATGAATGCAGAATGATATTTCTACAGCAAAAACCTCACAATACCAAAAGTTTGATTAGATTATGTAAAAAATGAAATGTTTTTCTGCATTAGATTTTTCAGATTTAACTAAGTAAATGGTGGTGGCATATCACTGGAGCAAAATAATTGTTGGAACTTTGTTATCACCGAATGCATGTACATAAGAATGCTGTGTGGTGACTTGCTGCTAAACTTTTTATTTCTCGAGCATCATAGTTATATGAAGCATTCCTGTCATTGTTCGCAGTATTTTTCTTAGGTGGTGCGCTTTATAGCGCACATCAATGTCGAGTGGTCCTTGTCAAATTTCTGAAGCTTATATATCAATTTTTTCAACAGCACTTACAAGAGAAGCTTGTTCAGTCGAAGTGGTCTTTTCAAATGGGATGTACACCATATTGAAGGGCATAGGACACTGATTCCAGATTTGCTTTTTTTATCTGCAAAACTTTTATGCACGAGGAGTTATGTGCGTCTTTAGTCGGAAAATTGAATGTGCATTTTGGATAAAATGAATTGCTAAAATCCTACTAGCCCTCAAATGAAGCAACCAAGTGCGATATATTTTATGCTAGACATTCCGTCCATAAACGTTGCGCAGATAAGGAAGACAGATTTGGAATTAGCATTTTATGCCCTTCAGTATGGTTTACATCCCATCTAAAAAGGCCACTTCGACTGAACATGCTTTCATAGTCAGTAGTTTCATCCAAGAATATGGAGAACACATTGCTCAGATTTTTGGTTGTTACAAAAATCCACTTGTATATGTTAGGTCAAACCAAAAACTCTGACGCCCCATGTTCAAAAAATGACTTTTCCTATCACGAAGTTGCTACATGGCTTCAATTGTGTTAGAAATGGTAAACCGTGGACTATCTAGTAAGGTCTTGCATATTTTTCAGTAAGCTCAAAATGCAGAGCTACAAATAGAAAAAGGAAATCATTTCAGATTCGACGACTTGAGGAAAGCCAGCTGAAAATCCAGAAGCGGTGCAATGAATTCTAAAACAGCCACTGTCATACGTTTTCTGACCTTCTCTTTTTAACTGAACAAAGTTCATGTTGAGCTCTTTTCCGAAATTTTATGATTTTCGAGGAAAAATGCCAAAAGATCGCTCTTGGGAAAACTTTTGAAGCATTTTATTTCAAAAATCGTAACTTTTCAGAAGCTCAACCAACACAAACTTTGCTCAGGTAGAAAGAGAAGGTCAGAAGATGTATAACTGGCTGTTTTGGAATTTACTGCTTATGTAGTTTCTGGAGGGCTTGCGTCAAATACCAAACCTGAAATGATATCTTTTTCTTATTTTTATCTTCGCGTCTAAAACGTATTGTAAAGCAAGTTAGGTTTCAATAGAAAGTGCATAATTCACGTTTTTATAATTAATCCAAAGCAGGACTCGGCATTGGCGGATATAGCTTTTGGGACAAAAAGCAAAAAGGGTTTCGTTTTGTGACCAAAAAGACACAAAATTTGCAACGCTTCTTTTTTGCTCGACGTTTGGTTTTTTGGAGATTTTTTAGGGATTTTGGTCTATTAGGCTGTCTCATAATTTTTTATCGTTTTTACCCTAAACATCAGCATTTCTCGAGGACTGGGGCACCTACAATAAATCCAAATACATTGTCGTACTTCCATATGTATGAGCTATATGATCACATGCGTGGGAAGAGCTCAGGACGTCTAGGGGCGGAGTTTGCCATTTTGCCTCATTCATTTTTCTCTTTTTTCTAGCCACGGAAAAATTCGAAAAGTGTGCAATCGAATGTGCGATGTGTCAAGCATAAGCTAGAAAAAATGAGGACACCTTAAGACTTTTTGGGGCCGAGATGTGACTTTTTACAAAAAGTTCGTTTTCAACTGCTATCGGATTTGAGCTCAGAACTTCATGCGAAATACGATTTGTCTTGTAAAGCTTGCTTTGCTCTGTCGAATGATTATTCAGGCCACACCAGATGAAGGAAAGGTACGAAAAGACGGCGGTTGCAATAAAAACGGTAAAAAATTATGAGACAACCTAATAGATTCTAAGGAGACTTGGTTTTTTGCACTTCCAACTAGTCACCTCGTGACGAGGCCTGATTTAAAAGCATCAAGTGCATTATAGGTTGAAGTTACAATTTTTTGGAAATGGTGCGACAGAACTTTCTGTTCAACCTAATATATGTAGTCGATGACAAAAAGGTGGTAAAGCGAAAATATCTTCAAAAAGTAGGAATCTTGCACCAATTCACTTGTTTTCGTCTGACCTGACTTTACTCTAAATTGGATATGTTGCGTTATACGCAACTTCCAGACCAGTTCAAAAACAGTTTCAACCAAAGAATTCGTACGGCGAAAGATTTCAGTGCAAAACGCCGTTAGACGCTGCTGTGAATTTGGTTCAATCCCATCACCCTTTTAAGTGTTTCGCAGAAACACACTGCTATCTTTTGGAACAGCCAGGAGGTTAGGCAAGATGAAGATATGCTCAGGAATTTCTTCAAGACTTCGAGTTTACACTTGAGTCATAGTGATCTCTATTGATCAAAGCAGGTTAGACCAGGCTAGAAAGTTGGGCGAACCTAATTCGTTAATGAAAAGCATGTTCGATGCTGTTTCGAAGAAAACACAAAAAACGACCAAAAGCAAAGAAAATGACCCTTTGTTCCGGATTGTTCCCACAGGAATGCAATTTGCTTTGCGGAAAGAAAATTTGAACCAGCTTTGTAGCCTATGGAACACCTCGCCAGGTTTTCGCTCTTCCTTTCTCGAGGCTCTTTCATTCGAGTTGTTTTACACCTTGCGCAGGAAACATGAAATAATTTTTTTTTCATCAAGAAATGCACGACTGTGAATTCTTGTTACTTTCTTTCATATTAATGCAGTTGTACTACCTTAGATTTACCAGGCAATGCCAAAATATTATTATTTTAGTCTTAATCCATCCATTCCTACATATGTAAGATATCGACGACATTTTGATTAGCCTGTTTTTTTACACCAAAAAGAAATGGAGCAAAATTGCCTTCATCGGATGCCCAAAATTGTCGATGATTTTTAATCCTAATTTTTGCAGCAATACTGTCTAGTTTGTGAACGGTGGAATTTCAAAATCTCTTTCAACATTCTTCTGATAGATCGTGTTGATCGGTTCGGGTCACATTATTCGTTCTGTCATTATTTTGAAGGATTTGCGAAATTTCAAACCAGCAAATCAACGAACCATAGTGATCAAGAGCCTTACAAATGGCCTACAATAATTCGACATGCAAACGTTCAAGGACCTATCTTGTGAGAAAAAGTCTCGTATAGCAAAAGTTCTGCTCATCATCGTTGTGTCAAGTGGTCTGGAAGTTGTACATACCAAGAATACTCCAAAATTCTTTAATATTTTCGGACTCTCAACCTCATCCGTTCTCTATGTAGCATATAAAAAAGAATTTGATGTCATATGTAACATGTATTTCTAAAAAATCATAGGTTTTGTAGGGGCATTCGAGCAGCAAAAATCGTTTTTTGATTGAAGAGTCACAAAATTAAGTTAGATTTAGCAAATTTTTAAATCATTCAGCACTTTTTGACCCAGCAAAAATTTTTCATGTTTCGATAATTAATAGCTTTTTTCTTACTGCTGTGGCAACTATGAATTTTGAGTTCCCAGGAAATGTATGATTTTCGCTCTAAATTTTTCCGAGATTTTTCGGACACTAACTTGCGAAACATACTTTAAGTTAAAAAAGTAATCCATTCATTTGCTTAATTAGTGTTACAAATTTCATGAATACCTTGCACAGTATCTATGTTGCCTACTAGAGCATTCTGAGGTCATTATTTCAGCAATGGCGGGAAAAAGGAAGGACTATCATTTGTACAGTTACGATTCAACCCATTCACGCACAATCAAAGCAAAAAGTTACCAGACATTTCGGGAAAAAAGTGGTTTTACATATGAATCGTAGTTTGTGCTCAGTTTACTTTTCGCAGAGAGTGCAAGTGTCAAGGACAAGGAGAGGGCGACGGCAGCTTGAATTGAATCGTCGATGAACCAGCGTTAGTTGGTTCATACGGGATAGTCGGGGGAAGGAAGGGGGGGATTATTAGCCGTTTCCTAATCTCTAGTTAGCCAGTCTCTCTCGGCTAATATCGCCAGCTATCACATCGGTTCTTGCGCGATAGATAGTGCATCTAGCGCAAGTGGTGTCCAGTCACTTTCCACAACCGGCGTGTCTTGTTCGTTTTTCTCGAACGGTTTTTACTTTCTCGTCTCACCGCCACCCGCCAATTTTGCAGTCTATCCTCGTCCGCTCTCGAGATCTATCATCTTCGGACGTTGCTAGCGCGCTCAACGACGACATCGCTTACGAGTTCGGCCGATGATCGGGTCGCTGGCGCTTCTTCTAGCAGCTATACCAGCGATTCGAACAACCGTACCCATTGATAATGCCATCAAGGGTAGGTCAGCTACTATTTTTTGAACTCCCTCCTCCCTTCCCCCTGCCAGCTAATTGTGGTTACCTACAGGCCAACCCATCATCTCCTGTGGTACCCGAACAGTTTCAATCGCAATTGAAACTGCTAACCAATTTTTTGGTAATGTCTATGTCAAGGTAAGTTCGTTTCACTGTAATCCTCAGTTGTTCCTTCCTTATCTATACCATTTCCTATACTCAATAAAACGTTATTGTGTACTATATATTTTTGATTTTTTACAAGAGCCTTCATTTTTCTCCACCGCACGCTTTCACAAATGGGTCTGCAATCCACTTTGTCCTTACATCTTAAAAAGCATAGGAAAAGTATTCGTCCTAATCCTGGGTCCTAAAAATAACGAGACTGACCAGTTTGAAAGATCCAGCTACAAATAATTGGTTCATAAAGTCTCGAAATTTTTGATGCTTTTTAGAACTTCTCTTCATGCCTTATACAAGTTTCTACAATCAACTACCGTGGATGATTTTTTATAGATGGAAATTTTTTGATTTCTTAAAAGTTTTCATTTTCGCTGTCACAAGCTTTTGGAGACAGAATCTTAGATCATCTTTCTATTCACTTCAGGAAAAACAAATGCGCATTGTTCACTACTTCGAAGTTAAAATTTTTTATTAGAACTGTAAAACTCCTCTTTTGTCAGAATTTTTTTTACAATTATATAATTTTCGCTGTTATTACAACCGTAAAGTTCTTTTTTTGTCAAAATTTTTTAATAATCACATAATTTTCATGTAGATGCGCAAATTTTGGTATTTTCTTGAAATTTTTCTTTTTTACGTCACAACCTTTTACTTTGTCTGCTCTCATTTTCCGTTTTTGTAGCTGAAAGAACATATGAGTCGTATTTCCTACAACTTTGAGTCCAAGAAGAGTAAGATTGAACGATTTCGTATAGTATTTGAACAGGACTGCTTAAACAATTTTTCAAAAACTCGAGACCTTGTTTCGCATCTAGAGCTAATAGAATCTTTTTACCATCCTATGCACAGGATTTGATGTTTTCGAATATGAAAACAACTCAAGCGGTCAAATTCTTGTGTCATGACTCACTGTTTTAATGGTCAGCTGTGTGATAAAAGAAACTGAAATGCTTATTTTGAACTGCGGTTCTGTCTAACCGCTTTCACAAAGATTCAAAAGATAATTATGGTCTCTGACTTTAAGTGAAACGCTTATGTACCAGCCATTTCAGGGTTTTTTCAACCAACCGCAATGTCGTCTAAGCGGAAATTCTTCCACTTCAATGAAGATCAACCTACCAATAACGTCGGCGTGCGGGTTACGACGGCGACGAGTGGTGAGTAAAATTTAAGAAATTGTGGGAACCCCACAAACACGAAGTACTTGGTTTTTTATGATCCAAAATTCGGCTTAAGCTTCAATCTATCTCTTGTAATATAACTGACATTGCTAATTGTGTTCTAAGGCTGCCGTTTTTCAGTCGAAGCTACGCAAATGCTTGATGTTTGATTTTCCTTTTTTATCATTTCAGCTTCTATAACTTGACCTCTTCTGTACAAACATCTGTTTTTACTAGCACAATTTATCTCGTATTTCAAACAAGCTCCGTTCTTTTACAGTAGTAGATCCTCATAGCGTTTTGTGTGTTCCTTAGAAAAAATTTGAAAAGTTGGGATCGTTTCCACCAAAAATGTGGACCAAAATAGTGAACCTCATGTAAATATGACTATTCCTGCCAAAACAATGGGCGAGTACTTGGGCTGAACTAGGAAAGTTTTTCACAACATTTTTGCCCATTATCATGTTGAAAAGACTCAGTAGTTTTTCTAAATTCTTACATCTTGTGTTTTTTGCACCACTTCAAAGGCATTGACAATGACGACTTAGAAAGAAAAGTCTCACTTTTTAGAAGTGCAAAAAAAGTTTTTGTTCCTACTTTTTGTAAGCTTTGAAAGTGACAGTTTTTAGCGCAACAGAACCATGTATGAACGATGTGTTGTATGAGATTCATTCTTGAAAGAAATCTTTTCTTTCAAGTCTATATGGAAGCAGAAAGTATGAAAGAAAAAATTGTGGTCTATTATATTACTGAATAATGTGAATTCATACAGGCTATTTCCGCAGTAATAGCTCACCTTCAAAGTGGTTCAAATCTATTTTATGCCATTTTATGGTCTCTTGATGCTGTCATAACAATGTCTATGAAATGTAGACCTTTAGAGATTGCGGTTGAATCAATTGCGTGTGAATTCAATTCAAAATCACTAGATGAATGACTTCGGGTTTTCTGAAAAGCAGAGATAGGCGCTTCAATGAACAAATGGAGAGGTCGTGCACCCTGTTTTCGATAATACAGGGATTTTGACTTTTCGTGAAGGTGCCCCAAACTATTAATTTAAGATTTTACTTCTTACGAACACTATCTTTTATCGAAGAGAAACACCTGCTCACTGATTTAAGCTATTTTACCCTCGTCTAGATCAGGAATAAACTTTCTACATCATTCCTTAAAAATTTCACAACAATTTATATTTCAGTAAAGCTTGGATGCTCTAAACTTCAAACGAGTTGATGAAAATTGATTATATTCTAATATGTTAGCTTTCAGAAAATTAACATCTACAAAAAATTGTGCTGTTTTATATTTTCATTTTTTGTTGCTTCTTTTCTCTATTCCAGGGTCCGCGCTGTACAGGTAAATTACATTATGTTAGAAATTATATTTTTGCCGTAGCATAAGCATACATACCTTTGTTTTTATCATCTCTTCCTCGTTTTTCACCTCTCCTTTCTATCTTCTTCATAAATGGAAACGAAGTTGGCACATCCTGAACGATTGCCACCCTCCGCATCGAACAAGTAATAAGACAGTGGCTATTTTTCGTTTCAAAAAATTCCCAAAAAAATAGGGAGGACGCATTTGTGAAGAAGATATTCTAAAGATTCAGTAAAAAATCCTAAAGGTAGAAATCGCTTTATGCATTGTTAATATCTATCAGGTGCTAGCTGCTGATAATCGAAAGAAGGGAAAAAAGAACGCATAAAGTAAAGTAACTCTTTTTCAAGATAATTCCATTTTTTTGTTAAAGCGAACAAAAGTAATTGTTTTATGAATGGTGCAGAGTTAGGAAAATCCTTTTCTCCTAACCCGGCATTATTCATCAGTGATTTGTGACATCCAAATCATTTTGTGAGCAGGTCATTGTCCCTAACGTTGGAATACAAATTAGACTTTTTCTCTGAAATCCTATTTCAACACTCCAATTAAAATGAACAAAAAGCACAGTTACCGAAAAAAGACGACATTTTCAGACAGTTGCGTAAACTGAACAGTGAAAACCTAATCCATTCACATCGAATAATTATTCCGAGAAATTGCTATCTCCAACACGTGTCCTTGCGCTCACTATTTATGGGAATTTGAACTCTTCCCGCTAATTGCTGCCCTAGAAAGCCTCGATCAAGAACGAAGGTCATGCCAACAGTTCTTATCTTCAAGTGACTCTTGAAAAGAAAGTGTGAACGGTATATGTTATTGGAATGAACTCAAGCGAAGCTGTGCCCTTGTCATAAACGTAAAATATGTGGACATGAGCGATTCTTATAGGCATGAGGGAGTGTGACGACCATTCTCGGATTTCGGGGAATGAACGAAGATTTTCACGGGTGCTAGGTCCTAACAAAAAAAACCCAAAGAATGCTTCAAAATCTACAAAAAAATGATAATTCAATTTCAAAGTCACCTCATTCATATTTTTACCAGATAAGTGAATCAATTTATAACATAAAACTATGGCACGACCTATTGCTGAAATATCAGTGCCGAATGGAGCTTCCTCCTAGTTTTTTCTTATTTTTTTTTAAATTCTTTCCCTAAAAAGTTTTTCTGACTGTGAAATTTGCATTCCAGCTCAATCCTCGAGGTCTCGTCGTTGATACTACAATAGTGCTGATGTTTCATCCGATATTTATGACGCAAGTCGATCGAGCTTACCATGTTCAATGCAATTATATGGAAAGTAACGAACAGGTTACGCAGTCACTGGATGTTAGGTAAGTAAGTGCAAGGACTGGTGTCCCAATATTCCTTTACCACATAATGGTGAGGACTTGCAAAATATCCTTTTTTAACCTACCGCTTTTATGTTTCGCGTATTCAATTGTTTATGTGTCTTGCAGCTATACTACCACTCCTCAACATATACAATGCTTGTCACATCCTTCTACCTTGAAGAAATGATAAAAAGATTTTTTTTCTAAGAACCAATCAGAAGAAAATTAATGGTCTTTACATATTATTAAATTCAAATACTTCACATCTATGGATAGTTTATGTAGAAAAATAATACTTGTACGTTGGATGAGCTCCAATAAGTCACATTTTGAGCTAAATGTATCTGAGGTAGAAGTCTTTGAACTGATTTTTCGTGGATTGCTTGTCCTCAACAAAGATGGTATGTGTTTGAAGTCTGTCATATTCTCTTCTTTTTCTCCTGCTTGCTAGAAAAGAGGTCTGCAAGCAGGGCGAAACTTTATGCATCTGCTTCCAAAATATGAAATGTCAAACTTGAATAGAACTACGATTAAATATGGAAAAGCTAAGCAAAAACAATGAAGTTCAAGCCGCTCTGTGCTCAAACGTTTACTTCTCTCTTCTCAAAACTCTTAAACCGTGATTAAGCTCATTTTTCATCTAAAAATAATATTTGCTGCTTTTTACGTAGAAGTTTGAGTAGCTATATATAAACATTATCCTTATATGTTAAGCAGGACCGCTTACATTAGGTTGATCCATAAGTCTTGCACTAGAAATGCTGAAATTGCACCTAAGAAATATTTGTAACAACGTTTCAAGTTATATTTTATCATTTTTCAAATTCGCAATAAACTATCTTGCTATGTATGATAGAATTTAAAATCGATATGTCGAGCTAAAAAAAGTCGCAAATTGTCTCCTAGTGGAAAGATTTAAACATTATGAATTTCCCACAGTCGAAAAAATATAAACCTAAGATTAGGATTCTGAATTGAGTTAGAGTTTTCTGACCCTTCTAGCATTAGAGAACAAAAATTTATTACGACGTTGTTTCCCTAATTTAGCTTTCATCATTGTATGTCGATATTTTGGTTCAAGCACAGTTGGAACGCGTATGATTCTTTATTTCAAGGCCATATCGGATTGAACATTCATTAAAAGGACAAATAGTTAGGATTCTTCAAAAATTTTGGTGCAAGACTGCTGTATTTCTGAATAAGTGTGAAAGGGCGCCATAGAGTATTGCGCAATTCCTTTACCGTTGCATATGAGCAAGTTCATATCGAGGCTTTGTTACCCTCTATTTCGAAAGATCAAAGAATCATTATAGTACACAAGCACCAACGGAACTTCCTCGAAGTGCTGCTGCCGCTGGTAATAGGAAGCCGCCCACATGCAAGTATGAGGTAGAAGTTTTCCAAATATTCTACATAAACGTATCCGACTAGTCTGTTTGCAAAGTAGAAGAGAATCAAATATGTATCTCCTCATCTCCACACTTTAGGTTCTGAGCAAAGATAAACATGGTCCACCTATAGTCTTTGCCACAATAGGAGAGACTGTATACCACAGGTAAGATGAAAATTGAATTGATATTCATCACATTTGCCAGCTTTTGCTGGTATAATTGGAATATGAGGTATGTATTGCACCTTTCCAACCTCTTTTTCTTTGTTTTAACAGATTTGATGAACAGGACGAGCGTCACAAAACATTGCGCAATTTCCTCTTTAGCTCCGCAGTACAGAGCACTCCGAAGCACTCACACAAACAATAGGGCAAATTCGGTGTAGCAAAGCAAACCCTACAAGAATGCCTTCAAGAAGCCCTACAAGATTACCTTATTAAGTTACTGATTCACAAAAAGTTTGAAGCGCGATTGAAAAATGTTGAAATTACAAAAAGAAGTTCTTCATTGCAAGATTGTTTCTACCGGTGTATATACAGTGCTGGCCATAGCTATAAAGCCACCCTAAAAACCACTGTAATTTGCTCTCTCTTGTAAATTGTCTGAAAAACCACTACTCTGTGTGCAAACTAACAACATATCATCGACCAGGACAGCTCCCAATTTCAATGATTTTGGGCGGAGAAAATTGAAAATTTTGAAAAAAGGGGTTCTCAAGGCTGGTCACAGCTATAAAGCCACCTCTCATTTCTAATCAGTACTAGGTTTTTTGAACCTGAAATTTTTTGTACATATACAATATCAAAATCTAAAACATTTACCACACCTGGAAGCAGTCGCCTCCTTGAAAAGAAGATTCATCCTGCATTTTTTGCTTCAAAATGTATAAAAAGTTACAATGTTTGGAAAAACTGCCTTTTCACCGAATCTTCAAGCATTTGTTTGACTCGAATGAAGGTCTCAGGTTTCGTCGAGCCTTTGCAATGAGTATGGTGAAAAACGCAGGAGTCAACATGGCGTAGTCGCTGATATTCATAAACAAGCCTCATCTTACCGAGGTGTGGGCACGCTTCTGAGACGCAAAACTCGATTTCTGACGCGCGAAAATTTTCGGTTGGAAGTTGACACCTTGCTTGCATGGTGACTACTCATACGCAGAATCTGTCAGGCTTTTTACAAAGACGTATTTGCAGCATTGAACTTAGAACTCTTTGCGTGCAGTTCGGTTGTGCGCAGTGTATCTCACAAGACTACAATTTTCACTGCTTTGAACTCCTCATCAAGTCAAATCTTACTAAACATCAGGAATATTAAGATTTTGAAGTTTTGAGCGGTTTTCCCCTCGATCGAGTGGTCAGAGTGGGTCAGTAATTAGGCAAAGTACACCACTCATTTTTGGAAAAAAGGCGTCCAAAGCGGGATCAAAATCCTGTGAGTTGCGATGACGTTCAAGCTATGCGCACGAATCTATGTTGTACAGGCGACGTGCTGAGCACCTGACAGAGCTTTTCGGGCATTAGAACTCAATTTCTGCCGTTCGATCATCTACCTGAAGGTAAGGTTGGGGCTCGTTTATCAATATCAGCGACTACGCCATGTTGACTCCTGCGCTTTTCACCATACTCATTGCAAAGGCTTGGAAAAGCCTGGGACCTTCATTCGAGTCAACAAATGCTTGAGGATTCGGTGAAAAGGCAGTTTTTCCAAATATTATAAATTTTTATACATTTTGCAGCAAAAATTGCAGGATGAATCTTCTTTTTAAGAAGGCGACTGCTTCCATGTGTGGTAAATGTTTTAGATTTTGATATTGTATATGTACAAAAAATTTCAGGTTCAAAAAACGTAGTACTGATTAGAAATGAGAGGTGGCTTTATAGCTGTGACCAGCCCTGGAAACCCCTTTTTTCAAATTTTTCAATTTTCTCCGCCCAAAACCAATGAAATTGGGAGCCGTCCTGATTAATGATATGACCTTAGTTTGCACACAGAATAGTGGTTTTTCAGAGAATTTTGAACAAGAGAGAGCAAATTACAGTGACTTTTAGGGTGGCTTTATAGCTATGGCCAGCACTGTAGTAGGTACCCTATTTTCAGGTGTATAAGACGCACCCTTTTTGCTCTAAACGTGAGCAGACCCAGGCGTGCCGCCGCGCATATGTCTCGCGAAGCGGTCGCATCGCATACTGCTCTCACTTAACGCGCTCCATGATGACAGTCAATCTTTTGGCGTGTTCGCCTTTAGAGCGAAAAGGGTGCGGCTTATACACCTGAAAATAGGGTACTTAGCCTCCAAATATAGGCTTGACATACTTCTCTCGTAGCTAAATAGGAGGAAAACGAAACGGCAGATCCATTCGTAGCACTTGTACATCAGATTTTTCGCTCACTTCAATTTATACACTACTGTCTCAGGCGAGTATTATTAATATTATTATTCATTACATAGGCTACCCTTTGTTGACAAAACAGCAATATCAACAAAAATGAACATATTCGTACGACAGTAAACAAAAACTATTAGTAACAATAAAATAGTAAAACTTCCTACCACGAATTCATGGAGAAAGTAGATAGTTTTTAAAGACTGCTTTGAACTGTGAAAATTTATAAAAGAGCATTCATTTCCTCATTAGTTTGTCAAGATCACTGCTTACTCTATTAACAAAAAACCTTCTCCTCGCATTCCTTCTCGCTCTTAGAACCACTATCTACCTTGGCCCTCCTCTAGTTCTTGAACGCTTCATTTGAAGAAAGTCCGAGGGATTGACCTGATACTCTTCAAACAATTTTGTGTGCTGTAGTAAGGTCAAATACCCTTCTTCTGAAAGCCAGACTATTTAACCCAAAGTTTTCATTTATTCCGCAAATTGCCACCAACTATTTTATCATAGTCATGCCCTTTGGTTTGGACCCATAGTTTTTAACTATTCTACACTTTCTCAAGAGTCCATATAGAGCTGACTTTCGTGGGATTGAATACTAATGTGCCGTACTCGAGTAAAGGTCTGATGTAGACCTTATATTATGCCCTGATAAGGAGAGATGGATTACTACTTGATAAAGCACGAAATAAGTTGTGTACGACTGCATTACCCTTCGCCGCAATACTTAGTCACAATGTTTACCAAAACGAGATTGCTACAGACCAGAAAGCCGAGATCTCTAATCTCATCAGCATAGTCGAGAATTTCTCCTTCTATTTAAAACGTATAGTTCAAAGTATGTATAGACGATTCATAGCATGCAAAGACTGCGGACGTTTCGGCGTTTCTCTGGTCGAGCGCTCATTCGTTTCCTTTACCATCTGCTGTCCCTCCCCACGCACGAACTATTTTGGGCGGACGCAACGGCTCCCTCTTTGCGCGTCATGAATCGTGTATAAGCTGCTGGCAGCAGCCTGTTGCATGACGAACGCGCAATATCCTTCGGCGCGAATCTATATTACATTGCAATTGATATTTTCAAAGATTACCATAGGCAACTCTATATTGAAACTCAATAAAGTGCAAATTTAGATGGACATGCGAGGCCGACGACAATCTTCAGTACTGCATGACGGTACATTCATGCACCGCTGACGATGGACAAGGTGTCGGCCAGCAGCTCATTGACGAAAGAGGGTGAAACACAAAAGATCATTGCATGGGCATTCCCACATGGCTTGTGAACTCTTTCGCTTAGACTATCGCTTCTTTTTGTTGTATTTCAGGTGCTCTCTCGATCACTTTCTATTGAGAAATCTTGAATACGGGGATGACTTGGTAGCAGGCCAAGAAGCTCACGTGTTCAAGTTTGCTGATAAGCCAACGATATTCTTCTCATGTATGATAAGGCTAGAGCTAAAAGAGAATGACACCAGCGTGTGTACGGTAAGAAGTGACGAGCATTTTCTAGTCAAAGATAAAATGTTTCATGATGTTTACAACGATTTCATTTAGCATCCAGGTCCTTGCCCACTAACTCCAAAATTACAACAAGTAAAGGGTAGAACACCTTTGGGCCGCGAAGAACTTGGTGCCGACTTTCCCCTGCCAGGTGCAGTTCTCCATGATAAGATAAGTTTATTTCGCTTCTTAACTTTTCATTCGGAAGAGTACAGGCAAAGGCATTGCAGATGTAGGGATTTAGTAATCTTGAAGGAACCGTGCAACCAGGTTTTCAACTTCCCTGTTTTGATCGCTCCGGGGCCTTCTCATGTCCTGATTCCGAATATGAAGTCGGGAATCCGCGAGAACCCCCCATTCCGGAGAACCCGCAAGCCGGTTTTCCGGGACGGTGATAGGCTGGGCGCACAGATGGGCGGGTGTGAATGGGGAGCGCGGTCCGTCGGAAGTCCTGGTGCGTCTCCGTTCTTTCGGAGCGATCTTCTAGCTTTCAAAGCGACATTTTGCGCTGCGACTTGGGAATTGGCTTGGTAAGGGGCCCTAATATCATATGCTGCCAAAAGCTCAAGACCCTCACTTAGGGTGGACGGTGCCTTTAACGCAGGAAGTGACCTCGAGGCATTCAGCCTAAACTCCACGCTTTGAAAGCGAAGAAAAGCTTCGATCACTCCGCACACTTGTGGGCATGACAATCAGCTTATCAACGGTGCTAAGGATACTACATACGCTCAGTTCGCAGTACATAGCGTGACGTAAAATCGAATGATGACAGACTTGCTTATGATCAGGGTCACGCGTGGGATGTGGCATGCCCCACTTGGGGGTCGTAAAGTCAGGGAGGGGGGATCGTTATCGAGGTGATAGCGATGTTAGCGATATGATGTCGACAATGTCTGACAGGCCCATTGTACAAGATACTAGCACTGGTGTTCATAAGAACATCGTTTTCGTAATTAGCATGTCAATTGACACCTATGGGCCAAGTTTCAGCGATTTTTGAGGTTCCCAAATATTGCGACATTTAAGTGAGGTGGTCATTTTCAAACATGTTACCTTTGTTTCGAATGTAAGTAAACTACTTCTTTTTGCACTTATTACAAGTTACTACTACTTCTATGCTCACTCACAATCAGAAATCCCAATTCAACTAAACTCCGAACTCTGGTATTGAGGGCAAGCCAAAGTCTCATTTGTCCCATTCTACGCTCTTGTTATCTCAGACTAGAAAAGACCAATCAGCCTCAAATCACTTTCGTAATGTTACGAGGATTAGGCTATCGAATATACTTGTTCTTGCCGCCTTCCCTCGCGATTCACTTAGTAGCGCAGACTTAGCATATTATCGAAACACAATATTTTCGCAGTATTTTCCTCTGGCATAGATAAGGAGAAGGGGAAACGATTTTCCTTAGAAAACGGTTTTGAATGGGATTCATCTTATATATAAAGCTGAATGTCTGTTTGTCTGTCTGTCTGTCTGTCTGTATGTCTGTCTGTCTGTATGTCTGTACGTATGTTCCGAATAGAAAATTTCATTTCTGAACCGATCCGGACCAAACTTGGCACACATACACTACGGGCCCCGGCGGGTGTCATAGGCTACTTTTCGTCATCGATCGATATCGATTTTATCGATTTTTATCGATTTTTTTGCTGAGTTCACCTACGGGGCTGGGAGTTGGCACAGGGGGGTAATCGAGCATGGGGATTCCGAATACAATATTGGTTTTCAGGATTATCGATTACTTTTATCGATTTTATCGATTTTTTTGCAAAGTTTGAGCTACGGGGCTGGGAGTTGGCACAGGGGGGTAATCGAGCATGGGGATTCCGAATACAATATTGGTTTTCAGGATTATCGATTACTTTTATCGATTTTATCGATTTTTTTGCAAAGTTTGAGCTAGGGGGCTGGGAGTTGGCACAGGGGGGTAATCGAGCATGCTGATCACCCCCAAGGGGGGTGATCAGCATGCTCGATTACACTCCTGTGTCAAACTCCAGCCCCCTAGCTCAAATTTTCAAAAAATCGATAAAATCGAAAAAGTAATGGACGATCCTGAAAACTAATATTGTGTTCGTAATCTGCATGCTCGATTACCCCCTGTGCAAACTCCCAGCCCCGCAGGTCAAACTTTACAAAAAAATCGATAAAATCGATAAAAGTAATGGACGATCCTGAAAACTAATATTGTGTTCGTAATCAGCATGCTCGATCACCCCCTGTGCAAAATCCCAGCCCCGCATGTCAAAATTTACAAAAAATCGATAAAATCAATAAAAGTAATCGATAATTCTGGAAACTAATATTGTATTCGGAATCCCCATGCTCACTTCCCCCCCTGTGCCAACTCCTAGCTCTGTAGGTGAATTCTGCAAAAAAAATCGATAAAAATCGGTAAAATCGACATCGATCGATAACGAAAAGTGGACTGCGACACCCGCCGGGGCCCGAAGTGTATGTGTGCCAAGTTTGGTCCGGATACGGCGGAGCCGGGTAAGCCAGCTAGTACTATATATAATAGAAAGTTTAGCAGTGGCAACGATATAGAAAACGCAGATATTAGAACGCTTCAAAGGTATGCTAATGAGGATGGCACAATTCTCAAAATAGTATGACAGCCACAGCTCCTCCGAAGTTGTGCCACGCCCCCATTAACTTACCTTCAAAAGAATTTTATCGAACATATATATACAGGGTGGCCGAAAAGTATGGGCGTCACATTTTTCCTTCAATGATTTTTCATAGCAAACAAATTGCTGTAAGACTATTTTTGCATGCCCAAAACATAGGCATCTTAATGTGTTACTTCTGCAAGACTGGATTCCTGCGCATGCATACAGACTTCAGCAGCTTACCTTGAAGTTGATGCGTCAAAAATGCTACTTCTGCTACTTAAAGAATGTAATCATTGCAAATCCGTTGAATTAACCCAATTATTAATCGTATAGATTCTAAGACCTGTTGTAGAGGACAGTCCGAGGAATAACACTGTGCTGTAACAGCAAAAAATTCTCCTCTCCAAAATAAGACACGTTACTATAAATATGATATCTGAACGCGCCGCAGCGCCTCTGAAGAGAAAGTAGACTTAGGAGTCCCGTTTGCATCACAAGACTTCAATTCGCGTGATTTTCACTTATCTTAATATAGACATTGTCCGTAAGCTACATGCATATTAGCCGCCATGATAGACTAATTTTGAAAAAAGGTACATTACATGTTGTAACGCCCATACTTATCGGCCACCCTGTATAGTTCGATAGCCTATTTTGTAGTTTCCATACGAGTAATTTAGGCCTAATTCATTTTCTTTGCTCTGAGTAAACTGGTGAAAGCGCAGCTTTTAAAAGCGAAAAATGGGGCAAGAGCGAGATTTTGGCGTGCTTATAATTCCATAGTTCTATGTCTATATGAAGCAGGATTCATGGTATGCGTAAATAGGGAGAATATGCGTTTGGTACAAAAAGAGTTAACTAACTCACTTCTGAAATATAGTAAAAAATGACCCCTCTGGGTGATCCGATGTTGAGAACCCTCAGAATTTGCTAAAAATTGGCCGTGGGGGGGGGTTAGTCGACACGATTACGAAAATGTTAGGGTTATGCTTGGTAGAGCCTTTATGTCCTGCCTACAAAAGGCCGATAATGCTCGGGAGGGGGGGGGGGAAGGTGGGGTGGGAAAGGGGGGGGGGGTACTGAGACGGAAAATAAGGGGAGGTCGTATCTGGCGATTGTGTGCCACGCCTCTTGCTCGACCCTGCTTATGACTCAGTTTGACCTTAAAACTTGTTAGCTTTGAGTAGAAAAACTTGAAATCGAGTAGGCTGAGGATACTGCGTCTTTCAAAATTATGTTCGACTCTGTCGCATTCGATATCATTATCGTAAATCAGAACGGAATAAGAGAGGTTTTTCAATCGTCCGCTCACAATAGCATGATGTTTCATCCTTGTCGACGAACTCCGACTGGGAGGAAATGGAACAGGAATTGGGCGAGAACGAAGGGGGAGAGAGGAGAGCAAATACTTTTCTTTTCTTTTTGAAAGTATAGTGTAAGGACAGCGATTTGCAATGCGGGCACCTTTTTTCACCATCTCTATTTACAATAGTATGAGGACTTCATATCGCTTACCATTATCCCATGGCTCTTCTATGTAGTGAAACGGTGGGATGACTAACGCATACGTTGCCTTTATTTCAGAATTTACCCCACTATCAAGCTATACAAGACAGTCAAAGCGAATCGGAAGAACCATCCGAGGGTGAAGAAAATGAATATCAGTGAGCTTAGTTATCGCATAGACAGTTCTTAATGGATATCACTTGTTAACAACTAAACCATATTTAGTCGAAGTTACCTTTTTATATCGGATGTAAACCATTTTAGAGAGCATAAAATATTGATTCCAAATCTGCCTTCATCATCTAAGGAAGTTTATGGACGAGGAGTTATGAGCCTTTATTGAAGCAAAAAAGAAAAACTGCTTAGGATAAAATGAGTTACATACTACAGCTGCTACAAGCTCACTAGCCCCTGAATGAAAACGTGTGGTATATTTTTATCTGAGGGCATTTATCAAATTAAGGTGCTTCAATAATAATTGCTGCTCCCTTATAGACTAGAAATAACGGGTGTCCCAAAAGTATGTATCGAACGTTTGATCGTTAATAACTCTCTTCCCAAGAAGTCTTTTGCCTTGCTTCAGGTACCGTTTTGTAGAGCTGGCTTCAACTTAGATTTGCAGTATAGAACGAATCACTCATTTCTCTTCATTACTGTAGGATTACGGTAGAAACTTTAAGGAGGGTTTTAAGCAATGAAAGGCCATATTTTGCCCCAGAAAGGAAACAAAACAGCCTTAAAACTTTTACACTAGGCTAATTAGAGTTGGTGATTATAACTGTAAAGTTTCCAACTTATTATGATGCTTCATTGAAGAGTTATGCCAGGTAAGAAGTAGCGGCCATTTTTTCAATGTTCCTAAAAAGTGGGATTGCACCGTTTAGAAAGCTTCGTAATCTTGTGAATAGTTAATTATTGAACTCAGCGTCCATAAAAACCCTATTACACAAGTTTTCACGATTTTTTGAAAAATTTTGAAACGGCAGCTTTTTTCACATTAACACCATATGTTTCAAGTTTCTACCGTAATCCTACAGTAATGAAGAGAGATGAATGATTCGTTCTATAGTGCAAATCTAAGTTGAAGCCAGCTCTACAAAACGGTACCTAAAGCAAGGCAAAAGACTTCTTGGGAAGAGAGTTATTAACGATCAAACGTTCGATACATACTTTTGGGACACCCTGTATTTCGACAATTTTTACCCTATTTGCACATGTAATTTTTTGCTCATATAAAATCTCATAACTCCTCATCCATAAACATTCCGCAAATAAAAAAGGCAGTTTTGTAATCAGCGAATTATGCGCTCCAACATGGTTTCCCTTGTGAATTGATTTTGAATCTGTGCAAAATTGCAGACTGCTCCGATCGAAGAGAGATGGTCAGACTGCTTTTGATATCGATGTAGCCGCTCCATCCGTCGAAGTGATTGATCTTCCCGAATATGGTCAGCTCGTAAAGTTATAGGTTTTCCACAGTTGATGCTTTCTTTCAGAAACTGATGTGGATAAAGAGGAGGGTTCTACTCAAAAGCTGCAGGTAAGGATCGAACTTGATACGAAAAATTGCAAATTTGCTCAAAATTTCAAGGGGACTAAACGCATATCTTTATCTGCAAATTATCCTTGTTTAGATTTGCGTCTCCCGATTATCCTTGGGAATTGCAATTTGCGTGACCACCTGTCTTGCTGGCATCGGTGTTTTCGTCTACCTCAAACTTTCTCAGAAGGCAAAGAAAGGTAGTTTTTAGAGTAAATTGTCAAAATATGGTTTTCTTCTTTGAAACTGGATTTCTTCCTCGTGAAATAAGAAACTTTCTTCTTATTTTGTAAAGATTATCAGCCATGAGCAGAGTTTCGTTGATATAATCTGCTGATTTTTTATTTTTATGCTTTGTTTTGATTTTGAGTTAATCTTGATTTTCTGATCTTTGAACGTACAACGTGAGCCCGAGAACAAACACCAGCTATTTTTATCCAGTATCGTATTACTATATTCTTCGATTTCAGGAATGCTCTGTCGGCGAACCCTACCGCATCCGGACTTCTAGAAAAGTCAGCTATAGTAGTTTCCTAGTCATAGTCTCAGATCCCTTTCACTCCTCTGCACAATGCATTAATTTGTATCACTTTATAAATTGTAAAGTTATGGCAATATGAGCATGTGTCCACCTTCCACTGTGATCTTCTATATTGTTTTGTTATTTTATTTAGCATTATGCCACACATTTTCAAGCCGTCTATGCTTTGTATTCTGAGTCACCTGAATGAACTCAATGATTTATGTACATTATGTGAGCAAGACGGAGACTGTCGACATTGCATTAAGCATCTCAAATGTGTGCTGTGAAAAATTAGTGGTTGCATCTCTCAATGCCTGAAAGCTTCAAAAAAAAATCTAAACAAGAAAGCTAGGAAAAAAAGCCCCTTCGATGGTCAGCGAGTAGAGTGCTGTGTGATCACGCTCAGATAATCGCCGGGGGCAGGCGGCCATGCCATTTTTGGGCAAGCGGGCACCGGAAAAATAGTTCGCTGATTTCTTGAGGTCCGCTTGCAGACATTTGGAAGAATTTTGGCGAAATTTTGGACGAATGCTTGAAGAACAATTGCGGTTTCCTTGCAGATTAGCTGCGGCGCAGTGGCCGCATTCTCGCGGACTTTCCGCGAGAATATGCAAAATTTTCGGGGGCCGCACGGTCCTTTATGGAGGACCGCGCAGCCCCCTGGTACTTTCCGCTGAGAGAAAGTACCTCAAACTTGAGTAATTAAACCATCGATGACTCCTCTGCCATGTAGAGTCTCACCTTTGCTCGGCGTACACCCGAAACTGTTTAAAAACCGTCCGAGCGCCAGCTGAAAATTTGACCAGCGCTCGCTGAAAGAGATTATTTGACGAGCGCCTGCAGAAAATTCTGTGTTGCTGCCCGCTGGCAGAACATTAGACAGTAAAGGAAGTGCCGCCCGCTGAAGGTTTGGCCACGCCCCAAAATTCTGCTGAGCGCCTGCAGAAAAACGCGAGTTTGCGGACCGCCTGCCCCGGCGATTGTCTGAGCGTGTGGATTCTTCCATATTAGGTTAGAAAATTATCAGAGAGCATGTTCGCGAGGACTGGCGCAGACTGCGTCGCGGACGCGAGCACTCGCTTGCTAGATGATGAAACCCCGCCTTCTAGCCGCCGATCTGGTTGAAGGGTACTTGCAGTAACCTCTGCTCTATTTGGCATGGGGTCCGCTGAGTTGCTTCAGGAAGATTGCGAAATGCGAATACTTGTGTTCAAGAATTTCGTATTAACATTTGAGATTCCCTGCTCTACAAATAAAGTTTTGTTGCTTCTCAGCAGTTAGCATTTTGCGCTAAATTCTGTTACACAAGATTTATAGGTACAGCGTCACTATAAATTCGCAATATCCAATAAAAAGCGTCCTTCCAAACTATGGGGCCATTTCTCGCATTTCTTGATGACGTCGGTTGAGCAGCTCATCATTAGAAAAAAAGTCAGGAATACCCTTTGAAGGACAACTTCATCACGTTGGGAAGCTGTGTATTTCGTCAATGAGAAAATCTTGCTCTTTCGAAATATTCGTGTCCTTCGCCCGCCTACTAGATACACGAGTATGTGTTTGAGTGCTATAGCGTATGTAGAAAATCTTGTTCAATGAACTTAAGCCACGCGGGTTGCAAATGGAGTGTGTGGATATTACCTCAAAGATAACCAAACTTTATTTATGAACTAAACACAGGAGTTGATTTAACACAAATGAGAGTTAAGGCCCCCAAGACTTGTCTCACGACTGTCTCTCAGAGAAACTTGTGGACCTAACCCTTCTTTGACTTGTGGAGAGGCTTGTGGAAGATAGCTTGACCTTACTCATCCATCTATTTATACCCTCTAGATTATTGTTGACTGTATATGTCATCATTGTAACTGATATATTGATAAGCTCGTTTAAGTTAGCTTGTGCAGTCAAGGCAGTGATAGACTGATAGGGTGTTCGCAATAAGTTGTACTTACTTATCTGGTCGACCTTCCGTTGCGTGGTTCTGGTCCAACATTATGAGTCTATCAACAATCACAACACAAACAATAGAATAAATACAAACAAAACAATTATTAGGTTGTCAAGAAAATAATGTCCGTTTTTATTTGCTTGCTTTAACAAAACAACCAGACTCAACCAAGCAAAGGGTAAGGGGTACTGTTCGATAGAGCAAAGCAAGCTCTACAAGGTACACTCATGTCTTTGCGCTATGCTCGATCCACGGAGAGTTCGAACTCAAAATCTAAAGATTTCCAAGTGCCCAAAAAATCGAAAAAAATCAGATATTCGTCCAAATAATTTCTACGGACCTCCCACTCGCTCACATCAATACTATCGATATCTGATATCCATATGTGCGATTCCGTATTTTTTCCTTGACTAGAAACTGAGAAAACGAAAATTTCCCTGATTTTCTCAAAGCAATGCTGAGCCGTTTTTGCATATGTAGTTCTATACTACAAGCCTAAGTAAGCATAACTGTAGGTTTTCAGCCTATTTCGAGCGGTACTTTTCGAGAAATGTCGATTTTAGCACTGAAACTGAAACGAAAAAAACCGAATCCGTTATTTTTCGAAAACTACCGCTTGGAATGGGCTGGAAATCTACAGTTATACTTACCTAGGCTTGTAGTATAGAACTACATATGCAAGAACGGCTCAGCATTGCTTTGAGAAAATCAGGGAAATTTTCGTTTTCTCATTTACTTGTCAAGGAAAAAATACGGCAATCGCGCATATGGATATCAGATATCGATAATATTGATGTGAGCGGGTGGGAGGTCCGTAGAAATTATTTGGACGAAGATCTGATTTTTTTCGATTTTCTTGGCATTTGGAAATCTTTAGATTTTGAGTTCGAACTCTCCGTGGATCGAGCATAGCGCAAAGACATGAGTGTCACCTTGTAGAGCTTGCTTTGCTCTATCGAACAGTACCCCTTACCCTTTGCTTGGTTGAATCTGGTTGTTTTGTTAAAGGAAGCAAATAAAAACTCAAGACATTATTTTCTTGACAACCTAATAATATATTAGGTTGTCCCGAAAGTTTTGCCGGTTTTTTCATCGTTCACCAAAACTTATAGAACATCATTCCAAAGATGGTCTAGGCATCATTTGATTCCGATTTTCATCCTCTTTCTCAATTTTGTATCTGCTACTGACCTACCTGTCTTTGCGATACTATCGCCATGGCTTTTTGAGCAGTTAACGGTAACGCCAAAACTTTCTGAATATTAAAAATGCTTATCCTGGCATTTCTAAAGAGCGCTGGTGACTGTTACGTAGACCGAACCTTTGGCTACATTGCACCTATTTTTTGATTTTGTGGGGCACTTTTATCAAGTCCGTTTAGTTACTCAAAAAAACGCGGCTTCTTGATTACGTTTACACGTAAAAGTACCAAAATTTCAAAAAGCTGATTTTTCAAAACAAATCAAAATTTGATAGGTTGCATAAATAATGTTTAATAACAGACAAGTTTCAGTTTGCAAAAACTACAAAAGTTTTAATGTTTTTGCTAAAGTTGCGTGTTCCATGACTTTGCCAAAAATCAAGACCTTGAAGAAATAATTTATGAGCTGAAAACAGCAGATTAGGAGAATCTAAAAATATTGCCATATAGCCCGAGGATCGCTGTACTTCGGTCATGCCTGACCTTTTCAGAAACTTTGAAAAGAAATTCTCAAAAATGAACCGAACTTTGAGCAGATAAAAATGACTGGTGCAGAATTTTAGCAATTATCACAAAAAGCATACAAGATTGTGGTTCGTAAACGTATCCATAAAAAAGTGAAGGAAAAGCTGTATCAAATGCATGTTGAAAGTTAGTTGTGTTGTGTGTGGTTTTATAGTGGTTTGAAAAAACGGACAAAGTTGTTGGGACAACCTAATGATTACAAAAAAAATCTGATCACACTTCACTTTGACTTCGAGGCTTTTGGCGACAGCGTGCTTCGTTTGGCTTCTGTTGTTTTGAAACCTCATCAGTGCTACTGAAGCCTTACTGTTTGACATTGTGTAGAACTTTATTCTTGAGCAGTCAGGTTCACAGGAATGGACGAAAAGTGCCAGTGTTTTGAAGTACAAAAGTGGGGTTAGGACAAGAGAAACCCGGCATTGTTTTGGTATAGTCTAGCACAGATTTAGTAGTGAGTCGCTGTGAACATTACATTCGGAGGTAATGATATTGTTCCGCCTCTGTCAATCTTTCGTAAGTTTTTCTAAATTTCTACTTTTTAATGAAAATTATGTGGCATTTTTTTGTAAATTTATACTGATACATGTGAGGAACAGTTTCACATTGGTTTTCAACCAGGTCGCTTCATAAAACACCGATCCCAAATATACTGTTACCCGACTTCAAATGAACCACACTTTTCCTCTTGACTCTCGAGTCTCCAGTTGGCTTTTCAAAATTATCAAAATCATTGTTCTGATGTTAACAAGTTCCATATTTGGTTCAGCCAAACCTCAAAGAACACCAAGCAACATGAGCATTATGATGCAGCTTTTTCTCCATTTTCTAGTAGGCGTTTTTCTCCACGGTTTGACTTTGGAAGATGTAATCATCTATATTGTAAAGTTTTGTACTCCTCTGTGGCAGTACCCAAATGCTAAATTCGATGTATTGAAGCTGGGGAAGCTCTTTTATGATAATCGGGTTTCAAATTCTTTTTGAAATTCCTCAGTGTTTGACGTGTTCGTGTACTACACCAATTTTCCAAAAGTCAAGACTTTCAAAAATATTATTACGATAAATGCTGGAAAGCTATTTAGAGCTGTCCAAAAAATTGTTTGTATGACTTCTTTACTCTATCCACCTGTTATCACAGCTCTTCTAGAAAGTTTGAATTAAAATTTTGGAAAATTGCCAAAAACGATGGGTTCGAAAATTTAGCGAATATTCTAGTGACCTAAAAACAAATGGTATGGAAGCAAGAATTTTGAAAAAAGGAAAAAAAGCTGGTGGTAAAGACAGGCAAACTCAAAAACCATCAAGTGGGTTTGAGTTTGCCCGACTTTATTCCACGTGTTTTTATGGCAGATCGCAAAACCGGAAAAGAAGATCTATCTATCCTTTGATTCAACTGGCTTGGCGGCTGGAAGGCGGGGCTTCGTGAACTAATCAAGGTTAGGTAATGATCAGAGAGCACGCGCGCGAGAGAGGTTGCGGGGCGAGCGGCCCTAATTAGGTCACAAAGCCCCGCCTTCCCCTAATTAGGTCACAAAGCCCCGCCAAGCCAGTTGAATTAAAGGTTATGCTATAAAGCTAAAGATGAAACAAATTCCTTCCTTCAACTTTTCAGCTCTTCTTCTGCGCATATGCTGGTATGGACTGGCCAGTTGGTGTGATCATACCGAGAGGCAATACTTCATACGCTCAGACCATCGCATATGAAACAAATGCTGCAGCATTAGAACTAGGACGAATCACAGTCAACAAGCAACATCTTCTGGATGGCTTCACATTCAAGTAATGAATTTTTTTATTCCTTTAGAAAAATATTTCGGTAAAACGAAAGGTTCATCCTACGAGTGTCTCCCAAGGATCGAAACCTTCAAGATCTTTGTGTGTTGCTGATTTAATTTCCCAAAAACTTGTGGTTGGTATAAATTCCATTAACTATTGTTTAACAGCATTGATTACAATCCTCAAGGGTTGCTATGACGAGTTCGTGCCATTTACAAAAGTTCCCAAAAAGCCACGAAAAGTTCGAGTGAGGTGACTTGTGTGGTCGACTTCTGAAGTAAACAATTTTTTCAGCGTGGCAGAACATTCGAACGGAAAGTTATTGTGAAGTGAGATTATCGTTAACACATTGACCAAAACTTGACCCACAGGTGGGTCAGGTCATGCAATCTGGGGCAATGTGACCCACACGGTGGTAATGACTCAAATTTTATCAAAAAGACTGCTATTCTCGAATGCACTCGTTTCAGAAGTTCTCATAAGCTCTAACCCTAGAAACTGCTCTTGTGTTTCTCGCTTGCTTCATAGAATTACTGTAGGTATGCTGTAGTTGACGATATGCATAATTTTGGCTGAAATTTTCGACTTATCCGTGGAAGGCATTGTCCCAAGAGGCAGACAACTAAAAGGCGTTTGTCGTTAACGTGTTAATAGAAGCAGCGTCTAATTGTAGAGTATTCTTTATCAGCAGTGAGATCGAATGCTTCAACAATTTTGGAAATTCTTACCGTAATCCTACAACAGCAATAAAGGCTGCTGATCACTTCTGTTTGTGAACGACAAGGGGGAAAAAGAATTACAACAACGAAGGATATTTACATAAAAACATCCTATATGTTACTGCCGTTGTCTTCATTTGACATAGCTTATAGCCCTCATCATTGTACTCAAACTTGAAAAGAAAATCATAGACTTGTTGTTTGCAGATTTACGTTCATGTCTGGAAATTGCTCTGACATTGTCGCCGGCGGAGTTGCGGCAGAGTTGATTTTGAAGCATAACGTGGCTGCCATCATTGGACCGGCATGCAATGAGGGTTTGTCTTACTCAGACAATCGCAAAATACTTCCGAGAAAACTGAAGTTCTAAAAATTCCGGGGGGCATACTCCTATTGGAGCTGCCAGGTAGGGCGGGGCCCACTCAGACGGCCCAGTAGGAGCGTCCGCCTCGGAAGTTTTAGATGTTCAGTTTTCCCCGGAAGTATTTCGAGATTGTCTGAGTAAGTTTGCAAATCGAGAAGACTTTTCCTTTTTTCAGAAATCAAATCTGTGGCACCGCTCTCTACTTATTACAATGTTCCCACATTTGCTTGGGGATTGGCGACTTGCAGTTTGAGCGAAGAGGAAAGATATTCTTCCGTCTTAGCAGTTAGAAGTACAGGACAAGAGTAAGTCTACAACCAATGCGCCTAATTTTTGCTAGGATACTTTTTTTAGCTTTGCGGCAGCACTTATGGATATCATCAAATATTTTAATTGGGAACAATTTGCAACGATATATTATGGAGATAAATGTGCAGATTTTCACGAGGAACTAGTGGTAAGCTGATCAAGAAGGTTTCAATGCTTTACAGTTTTAGAGATTAACTTGTTAATTCAAAACCAATTATAAATGTTTTTCCAAATCTCGAGCTAGGGGGTCAGGTTATGAGTTTGACGTGCCGTAGTGACGACGAAAAGTTTTTATGGTGAAACATTTTGGTTGACACTATATCTTGACTTCGATAATGTTTTGAGGGTACTTTTATCTGTCTTGTACAAACCCGGTGCAGTAGAACTGTTATTTGGGTTAATGAGAGGAGGAAGAGAACGCAGAAGGAGTCGAAATGTGAGAAGCGGACTTCAGCCAACACAAAGATGAGGCGTGATGCCTTTTATTGCGGAAAGTAAGCTAAATAGCAAGGTGATAAGCTTGATTGAAGTTTTGACACGGATCCGTTTGAACGCTTTCCAAACCGCATTGATGAAAATAAACGCTCAACTGTTCTGAGCGAATTTCACTCTTGCAAACATTATTTGAGCCCATTACGCTTTAGTGAGTTCATTTGATGACATGCACGATTGTATTATCAATGGACTGAGGGCTAGTTCGATGCTTTGAATACGCTGGTTATGGAGCATATTTGGGTTTTATAGGGGCTATATACAATGAAGTGTGGAAAATAGGAAATTTGAATCATTCTCGCATTTCCGATAAAGACCTGAGCGGGGTTCGGCACAGCTGGCACCGGGTCAAGCTGGATATCGTTTTTAGGGCGGAAAGCAAAGGGGATATCGTTTTTCCGGGGTCCGGGTCGGAGAAGAGTCGCAAGAATGCCGCCGGCATGCCAACGGCATGCTGTCCATCAAACAAACAAAGGCGTTGTTTTCAGCCAAAATGCAATAGCATGACACCAAATTTAGTGTGTGCATGCGCGTTGTGGGACCCGAACTATGGCCCAAAATTTTATGAAAACTTATGTGAATGAGAGCTGTGCTAAACTTTTTTCTAAATTAGCTGGCACCGTGCCAGCTGGGTGCCGGCAGAGCTGGCCCGACACTTTGCTAACATGAGTTCTCATACTTTTTTACATAAAATGTATCTACACTGTAAAAGTTTACATGCAGAGAAATTACATTTTCATAAGGTTTTATTTTCAGCGTTTTATAGCCATCTGAAAATCACTAGGTCTGCTCCACAGTCGAAAAATCGGCTTTTTTTGCTTTTCAAGATGTGAACCAATCACTTAAAAAGCTCAAAAAGCTGTGAAAGTTGTTCCCTGAAGTCAGCATGCATGAAAACTCTACTGCATACTTTTACATAATCTAAAAATAATGACGAATCTTCAAAACAGGTCAAAGGGGACTTCTTACGAAATTTTCAGGAACAAACTGGGTTTCGTTTTGAAATTTACCTGGTGCCAGCTTGAGCCAAGCCCTGGACCTGAGTTTGATGAGAATATGGAGTTAACTAGTGCTTCATAATACCAACCCGGCCTTATCAAGAGTTTAACAATAAACTCATGATGGATACGCGGCTGGCGGAGAAAGCTGTACGCCAGTGGCATATTTTTAAAATCATTGAAAATCTAAATTAAAATTAAAAATCGAAACAATTTTAGCATTTTCAAAGATTTCGCTACCCCGGGAGGGGGGAATGGGCCCTCCCAAAAATGAATCGCGAAATCTGTGAATTTTACTCACACGGGTTATGAAAGTGTGCAAGTGACTTGTTCATACTTGTGAACAATTTAAATAAATTGAAAAATTTTTCAAAAATTCAAGTTAGCCTTTTACATAACTGTAAAAAAATTTTCAAGGCGTGACTGCAGTTGCGTCCTCTTTTTCTAAATGTTACGGGTTTATGTACCCGCATAATCTTGAAAGCACTCAAATTTTTTTGAAGTGCGTGACTCACGCCACGCTCCTTTACTTGAAAAAAAAAATTTTGGCCCCCACCCCTTAAAAGGAAATCCTGGGACCGCCATCACTGTACGCGATCACTTTGTTTTTTCATAACCGCTTTCAGATGATTGATGCCGTGTCGGACACTTTCATTTCTCGAAGTATAGCGCTGAGAAGTCAGTCAGCAGATAGACTAGCCTCTGCTCTTTCTCGAGTGTCAGAAGTGGCAAGAAGTTGGATTTTTTTACAACATGAAGTGTGCTTGTTAATTTAGAACAGTCTTTCAGTAATAGTGCTGTGCCTAACTGATCCTGATGCTGTTCGTCGAGCAATGTTAGCAGCCTATGACAATAGGATGCTTGGCGATGAATATGTTTATATAATTGTAGATTCTCAAAGTGGAGGTTACGGTATGTGGACATGGTTTGTTGTTGTACCTACTTAAAAATGAAAAAGTTTGTACATCGAACATTCAAAAAGAATAATGATTCGATTGTTTCGACTCTCAGTGTACCCTAACTGTATGAATTTACAGTTAAATCTACCTCGAGCGCGGATGTTGTTCCAATTTGGCAGGATACTGACACCACACCTGACGGTAGAGACGACCATGCAAAACTAGCTTTCGCCAAGACATTACTTGTAAGTTTTGAAATTAACTCCCTACCCTCCCTCATATTACTAAGCAGGTGCCTCACGTTCGCTTCATGTAAAGGGCCGCGTATACTTCACGCGATTTCAGTCGCGACGCGATCTGGCAATATTCCAACTATACATAACTCACTGTAAGCACATTTTGAATGCAAACTTACTGTAAGCGCATTTTGAATGCACAGAAGATAGGACATTTTACCAATCCCCATAAGTTGTACACACTATGCATGTGCAATTTATTAGTGATAGATCTGAAGACTTCTAGGCAATTGCCAAATCGCGTCGCGAATGAAATCGCGTGAAGTATGTCCGGCCCTTAAGATGTCAAAGGAAGATTGCTCCCCTGGAATTTAGATGCTTATGGGAAGCTAGCTGTAAAGCCACATACATGAATGGTGTTCTAAAGACTTTCGCTTTTAAATTTATATTATATTGATATATTTATTGCATAGAGAAGTTTTTATGGTAGAACAACCAACAACAAAAAAAGAAGTAAAACTGAACACAATAAAACGACATTGCTAAACTAAACAAAACATACAGAAAGATAAAATGTTAGTAGGAAGACTGAAGGTAGCTTCTTAGAACCTTTTTGAACAGTGATAGCTTCGCTACGAACATCTTTCTTCTCAAAATTGTATCCACATCATGGGCCACTCGGCACGTAAAGAAATATTTCCTTGAATTTAGCCTTGCCCTTGGTAGTATAAGCTTCCTAGTCCCTCCTCTAGTATTGGAGCATCTAGTAGCAAGAAAATTTCTTGCGTCAAGCTTACACTCTCCAAATAGTATTTTATGCACCATGATCAAATCGAATTTTCTCCTTCTGTAAGCAGGAGTAGGAATGCTCAGATTTGCGTTGCGAACCCGATTGCTTGGAATCTGATCGTATCTATCTGAATCCGACCGTTTTTATCAACAGTTTTCTAGTAAAGCTATTTTGAACCTTTTCTAAATAATCAATTGCTTTTCGCGTGTGCGGACTATAGATCACCGTACCATATTCCAATATAGGTCTTATGTAAGTCTTATATGCCCTCAGTAAGACTTCAGCGTCGTTGCATGATGTCCCTCTGTAAAGGTTATAAGTAGCCATTGTTGCCTTATACGCAATTGTCTTACAATGTTTGTCAAAAAAAAAGATTGCTTCTAACCAGAAATCCCAAGTCTTTTATTGAGTCAACAGCGGCAAGCGTTGTTCCTCCCATTGAGTAGCTATATCCAGGATTGCTTGAGCCCATGTGAAGTACTTTGGTCTTTTCACGTGAAATAGGCAGACCCCAATCCTTTGACCATTCAGAAACTCTATTCAAGATGTCTTGTAACTGCTTACGACTAGCTTCATCCGTGACTGTTCTGTACAATTTGAAACAAATGCGCAGCAAGAAATATCTTTGGACAGTGGTATAAGCGGGAGCTCGTATGTATATATGTTAAAAAGTATAGACGAAAGTACGCCTCCTTGAGGGACCCCACATCCCATCTTTCTAGGAGAAGAGAACATCTGATTGATATGAACTACAAATGTCCGCTCTCTTAGAAATGCTTCAATCCAGGATATCATTCTCGGGTGTATTCCTACAGCTCTAAGTTTGATTATCAGTTTGGTGTGTGGTACTTTATCGAACGCCTTAGTGAAATTTAGAGAAATTACGTCAATGTTTTGTCCCCTATCTAGTTGCAATGTCCAATCATTGAGCGTTTGTAACATTGCTGTAACCGTCGATTTACCACGCTGAAATCCATGCTGTGCATTAGAAATCACATTGTTCTCTTCCAAATGCTTACAATATGTTTTTTTAACATTTTTTCAAAAAGCCTTGCGAATATGGATGTTATGCTGACAGGACGAAAGTTTTCAGGACTAGTCAGTGGCTTTTTCTTGGAAATCGGTGTGACAAAAGAGACCCTCCATCGTTCAGGAGTTTCAGCTCGCATCATACTCAAATTGAAAGTATGTTGCAGTGGCCCAGAAAGAATATCTGCAACTGATTTAATAAACTGTAATTGCAAAAAGTCAGGTGTAAGAGATGTTGATTTAGGCCACCTAGTTAGGAGGGGAGATAAATGTCTTCATTTCTAAACCAAACCCCGTCTCTCATTGTTGGGAATACTGGAGGCAATTCTCTCTCAGACTCATCAAAGCTTTTTTCTTCAGCAAAAGCCTTTGCAAAAGAATCCGCAAAAAATTCGGCTTTTCCCTTATCATCACTTATAACCACACCATTGTCTCTACGTAAAACTCCCAGCTTGCTTCTGTTTCTAAGCCGTAAATTGATCATTTTATAGAACGCTGATCTTTCTCCAGACTTGATTACCTTTTTCTCAAAAGATGCGTTGTATTTTCTGAGCAGTTTAGTAAATTTAGCATTTAACCTATTAATTGAAACTATCTTCAACGCTGTCACTATCAGCCGCAATTAACCAAGCTCGCGCTCTCATTTGATAGAGTCTAAGGAGATAATCAGGCATATTTGTCCGCCCCATAGGGCGCAAGGACCAGGGTACGTAGAGATCAATCGCATGGTAATCATTGTTAGAAATACACCCTACATTTCATTTACCGTGGTGACGGTCATGAAGGATCCATACCAGTCAACACTGGCTAGGTGCTGCCTCATCCCGTTCAAATCTGCATTTCTGAAATCCCTGTACCTGACATACTCAGTCTCCCTTATTTCGTAGTGGCTTATTTGAAATCTAAACGAGGAATGATCGCTGCTACCAAGAGGAGACTCCACGCTTATGTCGCTGACCAAATTATCCCTATTTGTGAATATGAGATCCAATAAGTGTTCCTTGCATGTATTGGGTTTAACTTGCTGCGACAATTTGTAAAGCCTACACATTTGGATGAAGTTTCTGATAGATATGGACGCTGGTTCTGAGGTAAAGTGGTCTTCCCAATTCACTTTTGGTAGGTTGAAATCTCCCATAAGGACTGCCGAATTTTGACAGGCTAATAGATCGGTAAGAGCCTTTACCAACTGTTCTGTACCAGAAACGGGGCAGGAAGGGGTTCGGTATACTAAAATAAGTCGCAGAGTAGTAAACGCCATAATGTCGCAACACAAAATTTCGTAACCCTCTAACACAGACTCTTTAAACACTAAAAATGAATTCAACTTCCTTTCAGTGGCCAGTAGTACCCCTCCTGCCCTCTTGTCTAACCTGTCACATCTGTGTATATCATAGTCCCGAGGCAAACCTCCGAAAAGAGAGCTATTAGAAATATTCTCTTTCGACCAAGTTTCAGTTGTTGCTAATATAGAAATCTTGGTAAGAATGAACCTGAGATGATCCATATTCTTACACCGAGAGCGCGCATTAGCAAGCATACACTTTAAGAAGCTACCTTCAATCTGAGGAATCATTGACTGTTTAAAGGCACACGCCCCGGCGTACCGGGTTGCGCGTTTTCGGATAAACCATTTTGTCCAATACAATCGATACCTTGTGTTAGTCTTTGTTGATGATCAAAATGTCTTGTGCTGGAACGAGTGCCCCTTTCGTTGCGTAATCTGTAGGGGCGGATGTAGATCCCATGTGCATATGGGAAACTTTTCAACTTAGGTGCCCTCTTCAGCGCAAGGTTTACAAAAAAAACAAGACGGCATTACAATTTTTAAGAGCCTATTATAAGTGGGATTAGGTTTTCCCATCCTGTACACGGAAATGGGGGTGCAATCAATAGAGAGGTAGTCAAAAATCTGATTAACACAATCCCAATCATGGTTTACTCTCAGCCAACTACTAGGGCATCTATTCTCTGGAACACCGCTTATCGCTAAAGAATGGAGACGATCACAATCTTCACACGTACAACCGGAATTTGAATTGGAATTTGATGTAGATGTAGAAGATTGAGTGGAGGGCAAAGGTTGCGGCGGAGATCGCTCAATACAAGATCTTAGGCGCTCATTATCCTTACGCAATGTATTGATTTCCTCACTAATTGTTTTAAGTTGAACAAGTAACTCACGATTCTGTTCGGCGACCATTTCATAGAGTTTCCGATTCTCCATCAAAAACGCCACGATGGTTCTTGCGTAAAGTGGGAGATTCTCGTCTTTTAGTAACTCTTCCGCGGCTTGGTTGAAGTCTGGAGGTGTGGCGTCGAACTGTATCCTGCGCTTCTTTTGCCGTTCAGTGGGATTGAGGGGATAAATGGGGGTCTCTGTCGCCATCGTGGGGAGGTAGAAGGGCTTGAATACAGGATTAACAGAAGAATTTAGCCAGAGTCGTAAGGACGTACGGGGGCACGGCAGAGGGATCACAAATCGACCGCCCGCGGGCAGGCCAGGATGCCGCTATGAAGATATCCTTATTCAAAGAGCTTGGCGGCTGGAAGGCGGGGCTTCGTGACCCAATTAACGCTAGGTGATGATCAAGGAGCACGCGCGCGGGAGAGACACAGACTGCGTAGCGGGCGTGAGCGGCCTTAATTAGGTCACAAAGCCCCGCCTTCCAGCCGCCAAGCCAGTTGAATCAAATGTCATGTTCAGTTTACACTAATGGATGGTAGAGGCGCATAAATACGACAAAAGGTGGATCTTAGATCCAACATGAAGATCTATGACTACCTTTTATCTTCTGTGGAATGTATAGTTTATACGAACATAGCAATAAGACAAATAATGTCTGATCTGTCCCAATCTTTCCACAGCCTCAATCTATTCCAAAACTACTCGTACTCAAAAGTAGAATCAGCAGTTTCATTAGAGGTGAAGGCGTGAAGGCTGTCCAACTTACAGTCTGCTCCAACTGGGATCAGGCCAATCGTCACCGTGAATTTGCGCGCTCGCAGCGCTAGCGGTGCGCTGCATAGGCGCGCTGTCGGAGAGAGCAAAGGATTGAGGAGAGAGAGCAGAGAAGCAGGCCGTGGGCGTGACCGCGAAACCCTAGCGAAGCGGACTCCCGCCATGCCAATTTTGGCCTGGTTAGGATTGGGGCAGACTGTACTGTTGTTTATTTCAGATTTCTACGCAAGTACATAAAAATGGAAAATGGGCTAAATTCAAGAAATCAGTTGCGGAAAGGATGAAACAGCCACCTTTCAGCTGTGAAGGATGTTTAGATCCCGCATATAGTATTGTAAGTATATTTCTAGCTTCGTCAGACAAATGCACTTTTAGTAGACTTTCCTTGAGCTCATAACAAGCTATAATTCTTATATCGTTACACACCAGTAGAAATTACACAAGTGAGAGGTTGCTCATTTGTACAGCAGTAATTCAGTATCTGTTGCTCAAAATTTCATTCCAGTAAAAATTCCTGATAAAGAATGGAAAAATCTCTATCTCATCTTACAGGGTTCCGACTTGAGCATCCAGCTTCACGACGTCATAATAATATATAGTGTAGCACTGAATCGCACCATTCAAGAAGATCCATTGCAAATTCGGAATGGAACAAGGATTGTGCAAAATTGCGCTGGAACCTTTACAGGCAGGTTTTGCGGTTTTCTGGAATTTCAAAATAAGCATCTGATAGCGACCGTAGGTACGACCACCTTAGTCGGATGAGGCTCAAGATCAAGGAATGTTAGATGGATAATGAGCGAAGTGACATCAGTGGCCCTTGCAAGAGAGTTTTCGCTCATTGTAAAAGATCACTTGCTATGAGGTGCTCATGAATAGGACTAAAAATAGCTAAGAGTTGTTTCATACTGCGGTCGCTGCAGTAATTGCAGTCAGCTTGGGGCGGGCAAAAGATATCGATCGATCGACTGTTGCTGCTGCAGCGACTGCAGTCTGAAACAACCCTAAAGCATCAGCCGCTGCGGTACAGCAAACCCTCTAAGGGTCGCATGCTTTAACATCTCCGCTGGGGAGGGGATCGCAGCTTCAGAAGAAAGCTCATATCCTGAAGCTCCAGATATCTGGATTTCACGTTGTCTACCTATCCGTAAGTATTCCCACCATCCTTCACTATGAACATATTGAATAGGAGCGAGAAGCTGTACAAGCCGCATTTTCCAGCTTTTTGTAGGATCCCTTGACGATCCCCGGGGAACGAACGTCTATTCTTCAAAATCATTTTTCTTTCTTCAATATTAATGAAAACATTCCAAAGTTGTACTGATTATCTAACTCAGTAGTGCTAAGCACGTTGCTGATAAGGACAAACGAGTTTCTGAACTATCGAAATTTTCGATAAATCCCAACTTTCGACCAGTGGTTCATCGAAAATTTCATGACTCCAGAACATCATTTGTCCTTATCAGCAACGTGCTTAGCACTATCGGGTTAGATAATCAGTACAACTTTGGAATGTTTTCATTAAATTTGAAGAAAGAAAAATGATTTTGAAGAATAGACGTTCGTTCCCCCGGGGATCATCAGGGGATCCTACAAAAAGCTGAAAAATGCGGCTTGTACAGCTTCTCGCTCCTATTCAATATGTTTATAGTGAAGGATGATGGGAATACTTACTAATAGGTAGACAACGTGAAATCCAGATATCTGGAGCTCCAAGTTATGAGTTTTCTTCTGAAGCTGCTACCCCTCCAGCGGGGATGTTAGTGCATGCGGCCCTAAGAAGCTTTGAATGCATTCATATCAGTATTCCACTGTCAAAAATGTGTCGTCCGATATTTACATAAGTTCACTTTGGACAGCATAAGGGACTGCTTGAGCAGTGCATTTAGGGATCGGGCATAACTCGTCGCCGCGCGATTACCAATTGCTACGATTGCTCAGAATCTTGTCTGGGCGCATACTCTGTAATCAAGATTTGGTATGTAAGCCAAGCAAAACCTATGCGCTATGCACTTGGATTCCATACGCGGTAGATTTGCGGACATCTAGCTAACTGCCAGATCGCGTATCGTAGCTATTTTGGAGAAATCGCGCAAGGTATATTCGAGGCCATACATGCCTAGCGAGGGTCGCTGATACATGTGACTACGATATCCGTTTGTAATTAAAACGGGTTCACATTACGGTTGCATGTTCTTATGGCCATAAGGGGCCGAGCATACATCACGGATTTCATCGCCTCGCGACTCTCCCTGGAGACGGTCGTAAGGTGCTCATTGATCGGTTTTTACTAACTGGGAGAAGCAAAAATTGAGTTCAAATTTATTTTAATATTGTCGGATTTCAACTGGTTATCCTTCTTTATACTTTCTGATGTACTGACGAAAATCTCGCAATCTGGAAGCCTTGCTTTTGCAGACGCGCCTTTCGACATACAGGGCTTTTCAACCTGAGAGTCGCAAGTTTCGCTTGCGCGGCTCCTCCAACGCGGCCGCCTCGCTCAGGCCGCGCGCGGCGTTTGCTGCGTATCGCCCGGATTTCGCCAAGCTTCAGTCGACGCGCAGCCAGCGCCACGAACGCTGCGCGGACCTAAGCGTGGCGTCCTGGCGGGGCGGTTGGGACACTCAGGTTGTCTGTAAAGCCCTGTACACCCGATTCTCCCGACAAGATGTTACGAGTCCATTGCTTGTCGGTCATCTTGCATTTCGGTTGTGGTAGTCAGTCGGGATTAGTCTTGTTGGAAAACTATCGCAACTGAATCGCAAGATGGTCAGCATGCAATGAAATGATGACAGTTCTCTTGTTGAGTGAAATGCAAGGCGATGAATCGCGTGATGTATGCTGGGTCCATAATGCGTGCTATAGAGTACAATTTGAAGGAATCTCGAACAATGTCACGATCAGCTTAAACGGTCGACCAGTTCCGACCCTACTGCTAGAGAACCTAGATATCAATGGAGTCGCTCGCACAATAATGTCGATTGTGATAAATGACGAAACGACAGTAAGTTTCCTGTTCCAAGAAATGTAAGTACTGAAATTTTTCCTCGTACATGGAAAATTCCTTGCTAGACAAAAAACTGGTCACAGTTCTTTAACCATACGTCAAACTTATGCACTGTTAGAGAGAAAAACATCATGTATGAATAAAGCAGTAGGACTCTGCCTGCAAGCTTTATGCACTTGGTCTTGAATTTTTAGAATTCAACTGTACTTGTCACATCGTCCAATACGATATGGTCGAATTACAAAGGAAAGCATCCTCTATCCATACCAGCTTGTGGTTTCAAAGGTGAACACTTCCCTTCTAAAAATTACCCTGAGAAACAATAAAATTTGAACAATTCTAGGTGAAAAATGCACCATTTCACCAATAGAAGGATTAACGCTGATGTTATCTTTGATACTGGTGGCCATACTTATTTGCGTCGCCCTTGCTTTTATAGCATACCTTTGGAGGTTGGCGTCCGATTTCTTGATAGTTGGAAAGTTTTACACTATAACATTACCGTAACTGCGCGAGACGGTGCAGCAAAATGCGAAGTGCTTTAGCCCTAGGTCCGTAAACGCTTTGCAAAAAGCGCTGTATATTATAAAATACTCAGATGAAACTTCCCAAACGTTCTGGGATGTCCCGGTCAGTCAACGTTTGGGACATTCCCCAAATAAGGTGCTGCGGAAATTCCGAAGAATGCGAACTATTGAACAACAGCAAAAATGAACACCTAAGCAACATTTGAATCGTAAACAAAATCCTGCGGAACCGCCGCTAATTTTTTGCTTGTCCTGCGGAAGTTTCAGTGAATCTGAGTAACTCTCATGCAAATTATAGCCTGCGCTACATGTAAGAGATCAAAAGGTTTATTCATATTTGCCTAGGCGTAACGTCAGAACCCGACTGGAGACCGACTTGAAGTGGCAGATACCTCGCACCATGCTGCAGAAGTTTGATGTAATGGAAATGACGATTTCTAGATATTTCCTAGCGTAGTTTTCATTCAAGGCAAATGCAAAATCTTCCATTTCACTGATGAGTACTGCTACAAAGAAAACGCATTTTTCAAACAAGTCTTACCGTCTACCAGAAGGATTCCAGCTTTATACATACAATGGAGAAACCGTATTTGCTAGAGAACACAACCATCATTTGCTCAGCAGCGCTATGCGCTCCCATTTTAGAAAGGTTGGTTTGATGAACGAAATGAGCAAAAGATATTCGAGATTTTAGATGTGGGAAATCGATAGCGATAACATGAATAAATTTCTTGGTTTATCGACGGACGGACCTGCTTGTTTGTCGTTATGGAAATACTGCATGCGAGGAAGCCTGAAGGTTTAATTTTCCAAGTTTTTCAACAATACTTCGTTCGCAGTAAGAAGAGAGTGAGCTCTCATAACACTCATATTCACTTTACTTCATTAAAATC